ACCTACGAACAACAAGAATACCGACATGCAGGTGCATGGTGGAAGCGAATAAATATATAGTGCAAATATATGAATTTTCATAGATCTAAAATCATCATTCACTTGGATGTTTATTTGGACCCAATTCATTGACCAGATCCCAGTTGGCTTGTTAGCTCAATCGGTAGAGCGCTGCACCGGTATCGCAGAGGTCATGGGTTCAAATCCATTTCAGGTCCTATTTACAACTACTCGTTTCAGTAATGTTCTTAGCTGCGAGAATCTCTCAATTTCATCTCCACCGCAGTGCAAATATATGAATTTTCATATATCTAAAATCATCAAGCAAAATCTATTTTAAAAGCCACTGTGGTTTTTATACATTTTATTTAACTACTAAAAAGAAAAACCCCGAATAACCGAATATTTCAAATGCGAAAGAATATGAATATATACTGAAGATGTTTGCCCAAAAACCCACGAAAACCCTAAATATAATATTTTGTGATATATATCAACAATTTACTTTTTCTGGTTATAACTTTTACAATAATAACAACAATTTGAATAGAACAACTCGTTCATCATTCCTTACCACTCAACCGGTCGGGTCAAAGAGCGAACAGAACACAGAAACTAGGTTGAAACCAGTAAAATAAATTTGAACTGCGCGGTCGTAAAATACCGAAAATTTGTCCAAAACTAAAACACATAATTTTCCCCTAACATCTCAAATTAATAACGGGCCAGTACCTGGCACACAAGACTATAGCTCAGCTAAGCCATACAGCTTGGCTTAGTACACTTCGACGTTTTGCAGTTTCCATAATTTTCACAGTTGTTCTCCAGCATACTATGATACGTTTCGTTAGTGCACTGACGAAGGAATGTACCATGCTCATACGAAACTGCCTCACACATTGGGTTCTCCATCTTGCAGGTTTTCATTTTGATTTTCCCATCACAATCGGCTTGGGCTGTTTTTTCCTTTCCTTTCCGGCCGTGACAGGAAGGGCACTGGAACTCTTAGAACAGGAAAGAGATAATTGAATACATCAGTCACCCTTAACGAGTTCGAGTTTCGTTGTCCACAAACGGTGGAGTAATTAATGATCATTTGGATTATAAATGATATATCAACCTTTCCAACCAATCAAAGCTTTTTTGGTGCTATTCAGTCAACGTCGTGAACAAATCGACTTGTTACCCCACCGAGTTTTTGACGGATCAAGTTGGGCATAGTGAACTTGTCTTTTTACCCACCGAGTTAACGGGTGTAACGGAGGTACAGAAGGGCTGAAAAAAAATTCATACCTGGTCCTTCTCCAGCCACACACCGCGGATGAGTGCAGTTTTTCAATCTACATCCAACCTGTTGGCACTTGCGCACGAACTTGTTGTAAAGCTTTGGGGTTGTGCATCCACGACGGAAATATCTCTCACTAGGTGAGAAGTAATCCACACATAGTGTTCTACCTACTGGACAGGTTGCTATCCTAACATTCTCATCACAATTAGCTTTGGCTGTGGCTTCATCTCCTCCCCTGGCTCTACAAAGAGGGCACTGGATTCTTTCTAACAGCCAAAAAAGTCAATTGTAAGTAACGTTAGCAGTACACTATATCCGCTGTTGACGACACGGCAGTAAAACAAACAATTGTGTTTGTTACTCATGGATAGCGAAATTAGGAAACTTCACTACTTCCCACCATTGGGAAAATGCTGATAAAGTAACAAAACAAATAAATTGATGGTTATATGCCTTCGGACAGGGCAAGTGGTGTCAAAAACTGTTTAGTCTCTTGCCTTGCATTTCATTCCCTATTCGGCGTTGTTTTCACACTAATAATACACATGCACAGCTTTCATGCAGAAAGTTGAAATTAAATTGATTGAGCGTTTGTATTTTGTTTGTATTCTTTCTGCTGCTGTCGACCGATGCCTCACAGAGAAAGAATACAAACGCTCAATTATTCTAGAGAGGTTATTATTTTACAGAAAAAAGGCCCCACTTGTCCGGTAACAAGGCAAAGGCAAGCAATTAGCGTCCGAACTGGTGAGCCATGAAACAAAATAAGGACAACTGAAAAGGAAAACATAAACATATTTTGCTTGTAGATAGAAATAAGAGTGATGGTTAATCTTGAGCTCGGTAAAGAAATAAAGAAAGATGTTTTTTCGTCTTGTCACGAGCGTA